GATCATATGTTGCTTCCTGAAAAAGTTGATTATCCAATTCTTTATGATGTAGTAACTGTATTCCTTCCATCTTCTTTTGATGCTTCTTGCATCATTCAACATTTTGTCCATAAAATCCATCAGTGTTGCCACGTGAAGACTGAACTATTTCTTCCGTTCTCTCAGCTTGAGAAATATCGAGGTGTTCTTCCCTCTTGGCTTTCTGACTCCAGGTCGCTGCACATTCCACAATAATACTTCGTATTCACCAGCCATTCTTAGAAATCTTGTATTTAGCGCTTTTACTTCCTCGTTTTCTGTAGTGGTTGGCTAAAAGGTGACGGGCAGAGAACGCCGTAGGACTGCTTCATCAGGAAAGCTGTTGCTTTTCTAATAAAGTGTTTGCGTTGCTGCTATAAGGTCTCAATGTTTCTATATAATTTATTTAACTCCCTTGTATTATTACCTTATTAGAAGAGAGCTGACCCTTTCCAAGATTTGTGGTAGTTGTAGTATTAAAACCATTATCCAGTCAAGTTGAAAATGTATTGAGCTACTGTATTAGATGTGGTTTTATTCTCCACTCCTGCTAAATATATTGCCATCTGACAGAGTCCTAGTAGAAAGTAGCATTCATTTTTGTTGTTGTTACTGTTAATTGCCAGAGATTCAGTGTTATCTGATCCAAATGAATAGAAATATTTTTAGGTTTGGTAAACGATTTTCTTGAAATTATTGCTATTTTCATGGAGCGTAATGAAAGGTGTTCTCCAACACATACTGTAGGCCCACCACACAGCCGATAGAGTACGGGGGATTGAGTCAGGAAAAAGGTCCAAGCAACTTATCCATATAGCCATTAACAGATGACAGGGACCTTAGTGAATGTTGTTGTGTGCTGTGCAGTTCATTCTGACTCCAGGTCCATACAGAACCGATAAGAATGGCCCCAGAGGGCTGCCCAGGCTGCAATCTATCTGGGAGAGGTGCTAATTGAAAGATTGGTGGCTAGAACCCCCCAGCTGCACTGAGTGAGAACCACATGACGTCTGTAACGATGACAGCGTTGGAAACCCGCTGTGCCCCACAGGGTCACCGTGCCCCAGAACCGACTCCGCTGTAGCACGTTTTGTTCTTCGCTTTTCATCTCTACGTGCACAGATGGCCGTGCTGAGGAGGGGCTGGTGGGTTTGAACTGCGGACCTTTCAGTTTGGAGCTCAATGTTTAAGCGTTGTGCCACCAAGAGTATTTACCATTGTGATTATGTGAATTATGTTTTAAAAATTTATCATCTTGTTAAATAGGAACACGTAGAGTTGATAAAGCATGCAACACCAACTCACACGGGAGTGTTTGGAAATGAAAACTTTAAAAAAATCATCATTGAAAATCGCATGCTTCATTCATCTCTATGGTTGTTCAAGTGCACATGAGCCTTCTCAACCACATGTCTGTGGAGCCTCCTTGCTCCATAATTCTAACCACATAAAAACCAAATGGCAAACTGTAGGCATCTGGGTATCAGATTTGTCCTGTACTTGCTAAATCTCTTCCCCTCTCGCTGTAGTGGCTGGTGTGTAAACTGAATGAGAGCTGCACTAACGGGACTGTCTTATAGAGGTACAGATGTTAGAGTCTCACAGACAGCATCGTATTTCAAAAGAACAAAGCCTTGAAAGGTTCTCTTGGACGATGAATGCGACACCGTTTCTGTTGAATATGCCGCTCCTGGCATAGAAACCCTGTGATATTTTTCCGACACAAAATGGGCATGCCCACTCAGCTCACTAATATAACACCTAGGATACTGATCTTTATGTGTTCCATTTCATTTTTAGCACCTTGCGATTTTCCTAGTTCATACATCTCAGATCTATGCTTCATGGATGTTTCTAACGGTTTCATCTCATTCTGAGTCTGTCATCTCAGTAAACAAAGGTTTCGAAAGCCTCGCTCCTCCTCTGCGCCCTTAAGGTTGACTTCGCTTTCAGGAGGCACCTCTTTCCCAGCTGTGCTTGGAACGCCTTCAACCGAGGGCTCATCTTTCTGGAATGCTCTGCTGCGCTTCAGGAGGTTCATGAGGTTCTCAGGGGTGAAACCCTGAGGAGTGAGCAGCCTGTTCCCTCTTTCTGGCCTGTTCTTAAGTCTGGAAGCTCAGCTGACACCTGGTCACCCTGCGGGCCCCTACTGGTATTTTAATATCACTCGTATGGCTTCCAGTACCTTGGCACCTGGGAGCCCCCACACTATGACCCACTGACAGACAAGTGATGGTACCGTTTCCACGTGTCCCCTGAAAGAGAAGCTTTGCGTAGGATGGCAGTGACTATTTGCTGAGGTTGTTGGAATAATTGAGAAAGGCATAATGAGAGTGGCTACAAATTTGAATAATGTAAATTATGTCATGGAATTGTACATGTAGAATTTATTGAAATGGTATAACTCTTATTGTGTATATTATCACCAAAAAATATATAATTTTTTTAAAAAACTGAAGCTCAAGGTAATCGAGTTTTCAGATACCCTAAGGGAAATTATCTCCCTCCAGGCAACGTCATTCGCATTTCTTTTATGGCCCTTGTGAAACCTTATATTCTTTGCTTGCCAGCTCAGCAATTTATTTGGAAATGCTTTTGTAAAGTAATATATTCCACGTTTTAGTTGTTTGCACAAGAAGAGTGGTACATCATACTGCCAACCATGGCCCTTGCATTTCTTCTTTATTGTGATTGTTTTCAGAATTTCAGCTTTAGAAACACAGGGAGATATACAGGGTTTTGTTTTTCCTAAAGAAGCCATTATCAGACACATGTAGCAAGAAATCTCCCTGCTTACCTCACGGCCCTCCTCCTCCACAGACATACCAGCATAGAACTGGGTCTGGCACGTATTCAGTGTGATTGTTTCCAGGAGTGTTTTTGGTCTTTTTTGAGTTAGTTGCTAGATTTTATTTTCCATATTGCTTTTATAATAAGAGAAAACAATAAAATTCTTCTGGATAAAAATATATTTGAGTTAGCCACACCCAGTATAAACATAGCTATCATAATATATAGGAGCCATGGTGGCGTCGTTGTATTAGTCTTGGTCCTTTAGAGAAACAAATCCACAGAAATTCATGTATAAGAGAGAGTTTTATATAAAGGATACATGCACATCAAGAAAACATCCCAACCCAGTGCTGCCCAAGCCCACCAGTACAACATTAACCCATGTGTCCGACACCAATCCCCAACGTCCTCCTCCATCTCATAAACACACCCAATGACGCCGACTGCAGGAGGAAAGCCAAATCGGTGAACGTGTAAGCATCTCAGCGCTGGCAGGGGTCTCCACACAGCTGCTCCAGCACCCAGAGCTACATCAGGGTAGGTCCACGTGGCTTCTCCTTGGGGATGCCTTGCAGGAAGTGAGCCTTGCCAGCTGAAGCAGGGAACTGGCTAAGGCAGCTACACGCTGGTCCGACCATCAGAAAGCAAGAGACCCGAGAACTAGAAAGGCGAGGCTCATCGAGCCATTTATCCCTCCGCCTTTCAATTAGTTAGCCTCACATCTGTTTATCAGCCAGGTTGGCACAATAAACTAACTACCTCAGTTGTGGTTACGCACTGGGCTGCAAACCACAAGGTGAGCAGGTCAAAGCCCCCAGCCACTCCAAGGGAAAAAGATGGGGCTTTCTTTTCCCAGAAAGAGTTATGGTTTCAGACATGCACAGAGGCACTTCTGCCCTGACCTAGAGAGTCGCTACGAGTTGGTATCAACTGAATGGCAGTGTGTTTTGGCTGCTTGGTCTTATCCTAATTTATCTCTTGCATCTGGTGATTTGATGTTTGGGGTAAGGAACGTTTCTGCACAAGCTGAAGCCAGTCCCACTCCGGAGTAGATCTGACTCTCTTTCACCTTGTAACAGGCACTGGTCGCCCTGGGTGGACAGGACAGCTGCGGGCTTGGTGTTGGTCCTTTACACCGAAGCCCCCAGGGGTATCTGCTGGGTTCTGCTGAACTACTAGAGGATGGCCCTGCAGGAAGTAGTCTTGGGCTTCTACAAGCATAAAATATGCGAATCGTAATTCTTTTCTTCCACTGTAGTTCTTTCAGTGTGGCAGATTCTCTTAAAGTTCTTTAAATTGGCCTCTCCGGGCTGGCCCCGGCCCCCCTGGGTTCCCATAGCCCAACCCAGTCCAGCCTGGTTCCTGGGAGTTTGTGTATGAAGAGAGGCATCGTTTGACAAGTGCCGCTCACGGGGTCCTGGTGATGGGCGCCCAAAGCTCAGATAGGTGATCTGGACAGAAAGAAAGAAATACCTGGTTCCTTCTGATCTCACACTTGGCCCGTTCTACTTCTTGATCTGGAAGTGACTTCCTCTCCGAGCTGAAGATGCCTTGCTTCCCTTTGTCACCAGTGCCATTCCGCCCACCAGTGCTCTGTGGCTCAGCTGTACCAGGAGCACCATGGAGAAGGCTTCTTTCTCTACATTGCCTGTGGTGACAAAAGTGTCTATGGACCGTGAAGCTGCTGCCCTGGAGCTGGGGGTGTTCCATCGTACAAAGAGAAAAATGTGCCCCCCTTGCTTCACCCATCCCTCCTTCAGGCTCAAACGCCACCTCCCTTCTTCAGGACCTGCACTACTTAGCGTCTGCCGTTTTCTCCCCAGCCCTTCCTAGCCGAGCGGAATGGCGGAAGTGGCCCCCAGCGCCTCCCTTTGTTCCTCTGCACCTTTCTCTGCTGCCTCTCCCCCTGCACTTCAGACTTCTTGGTTGTCATCCCTTTCTAACTGCCCAAGGGGCTCAGAACCCCAACAATGGCTTTCACTGCCTTCTCTTTAGGGGGTAGATGGAGGGGACTAAACTGTGGGGGGGACTAAACTTCTGTGAGGGAGATAGGCACATCAAGGAAGAGAAAACCGACCAACTGACCTGGAGGGTGGGGGTGGGGGAAGGAATTGGCCTCTTATTAGAGAGATCAGAACAGTCACTTGATCAAATAACGCTTATTTTTAAAATATTATCTCTTATTTAAGGACAAGGAACATCCAAGACACCTGATCCCGGAGCTTTGCAAACAGTTCTACCATTTGGGCTGGGTCACTGGAACCGGAGGCGGCATTAGCCTGAAGCATGGGTAAGTTTCCAGCTGACTTCATGCCCTGGAATTCTCCAGAAGAGGGGGCTGTAGGGAGGGGGCTCCTTCTGTGAGGAGCTTTCAATAAGTGTGGGGAAAATGGAGATAGATTATAGAATTTCTCCACCAATTTTTAAAAATCCTTCGTATTTTGCCCCTCTAACAGCTGGCAATCCATTTTATATAGTTGTTTTTAGGAGGATGCATAATTGCTGATATAGTAATTCCCCAAGGACATAAGGACCACTAACCATCTCTAATGAGAATAATTCAGTTCTCAGTCGTAGGAGTAAAAACCGTTAAATACCATGCTGCTAAGTACCTCGCAGTCTGGAATTATAAAAGGATTCCCCACTAGGTAGACACAATTTGTTCTAAGGTCCAGATACATCTTTTAAAGTTAAATAAATTTACTCTATTTGTCAAACTTCGATATAGATTGTTATTGTTAATTGCCGCTGAGCCAGTTCCAACAGCTGGCAGCCCCATGTGTCCAGCACAGAACTGCTCCCGAGGGCTCTTCCTTTGGGAAGTACATCTCCAGGCCTGTCTTTCCAGGAGCCCCCGGCTGGGCTCAAACCACCAACCTCTCGGCTGATAGTTGAGTGCTTCCACTATTTGCTCCACCCAGGGACTCCTAAATATAGATTACTAACCATTACAGTTTCTAAATATTACATATTTTATTGAGTTCAAAGAAAGGCAATACGCCTTTCTAAGTACATGTGCCAGTTTTAATGGATAAAGCAGCTGTTGTGCTATAGTTCTCTGAGGACAAAGCTAGAGGTAATGGTTTTAAATCATCGCAGGAGTGACTAGCACTAAAGTGTTCGTTAGATTTTAATCAGTGTCTGTCTTCCAAAAGGATGAAGAGCATAAGCAACTTGCCGACAACAAGAACACTAATCAAGGGGGTGGAATCTCATTCTTCCAGGGGGTTCTGGAAGAGGATGAACCTTCCTCCTCCTGGAGTATTTTAGGAATAGCATTGTCTGGAGGCCCAGCATTAAACCGAGTAACTGCTGATGTATTTCTTTAATCCTGACTTACTTTCTTTCACAACATGGGGTTACTAAAATATTTATATGCTGTTGGCATATTTATGGCAATGCCTGCCCCAAGGAGGCTGGGCATGCGTGGTAAGGAAGAGAATGTGTGATCCGAACATTTTGAACAAAAGGATTGGATGGCCTGCCTCTAGCTGGGGTCGTTCTCAGTTCATCTCCCTCAAATGGCCTAGTAATTCAGGGCATATTAATTGAACAGTGGGGAGTGGCAAGCAGGGCCTTAGTCAACAACGCGCACAGTTACAGATGGAGAGATGCACACAGAGGTCGGGGAAGCTCAGGTTCGCATGCTTCCTCCATGACTCCATCCCGGCCACTTTCATCACCATCACCTAGCGCCAAAGGGCCCATTCAGCATCGTGCAGGCTTTTGCATCTTTTTGCCAAACCCGTCTGATTAAGATATCTGCTGCAGCGACAGCTACCGCTACGCTTTCACTTAACTGTTTAGAAGCTGAGTCCCAAACCGTCTAAGTGATCTGATGTCTTGGATTTCTATTAAATCCTGTCTTAGACGCTACCTGTAAGTTACTAAGGAGCCCAGGGGATATAACAGGTATACACGGGGCTATGAGATCAGCAGTTTAAATCGCACCCTCCCCCTCGCCACTCCACCGGAAAAAGCGGAGACTTTCTGCCCCCAGGAAGGTGGATTGGATCCCTGTGAGTCAAAATCGACTCCGTGACTGTGGGGGTTTGGGTGTGGTATTAGTGAACTACTTTTATTTATTTACTTATTTATTAAATAGTGGGTTAATATACAGAATAGAGCTTTCTATGAAACTGATCTAGAATAAAGCCGTTTTTAACTGACTCTTGAAAAAAATAAAACTAGCAGAATGAAAATTAGGGGATTGAAGATAAGGATCATTGAAAATCTCAAGAGAGAATGTTTTTGATGAAAACCATAAAGGGTTATGTTCTTCTTAGCAGAATTTCATTAATCCGTGCACCGTGATTGTGTGTGTCTCTCGTGAACCACTCACTGGAGCATCTTTTTCTATTAAATAGCTTTTATAGTATTCAAAACAATTTATAGGAAGATTGCCTCCTATGCGCAAAATGCTTTTTCTTTAGTCTCCGGATGGTGGAGGAGCGCCTTCTGGAGGTCACTGGTGGAAAGAGCCAGTTCTATGGTACTGCTACTGTAATCTTTCTAACTCTGAGTTTTTACAGAGTGAAAGGGGTAATGTTCTGGGGTAACAGGTTGCGTTTTTCTCCAAATATTTAAGTAACTTAATAAGTCACATGACTAATATCAGGAATTCTTTCTCTTTTGTTTGTGGAGGGTTTTATTATTATTATTACGAATCATTTTATTGGGGGGCTCTTACAGATCTTATAAAAACCCATAATTTAATTGTATTAAGAACACTTGTACATAAGTTGCCATCATCATTTTCAAAACATTTTCTTTCTACTTGAGCGCTTGGTATCAGCTCCTCTTTTTTCCCCTCCCTCCCCCACCCTCCCACCTTCATGAATCCTTGATCAGTTATATATTATTGTCATTTCATATCTTACACTGTCCATTGTCTCCCTTCACCCACATTTCTATTATTCATCTCCCTTAGAGTGGGGGTGAGGGGGTTATCTATCCAACCTTGTGCTCAGTTCCCCCTTTCCCCTCCTCCCCCAACCCTTTCTGTGGAAGTTTTGTTTTCTTTGTCTGGTGCTTAGAATGAGAACATTTGGAACAAAGGGCAACCCCAGGAGCTTTTACTTGCAGAATACTACTGGCCATGCTCTACTGGGGCATTGTACCAAACAATGTTAATAAAAGACAGCTGACAGCATGCCACCCACTGCCGCAAGTTGATTCGGACTCATGGCTACCCTATACAGTCTCCCCAACTTCCTCCCATGGAGCAGCTGCTGGGTTTGGCCTTGAGGTTGGCAGTCCGCGGTTTACCCCACAGTGCTGCCATGCACACGCAAGAGCCAGATGAGAAGGAGGAAATGGACAACCAAGAAAGTGACAGCAGTCACGGGGATTCCAGCACAGTCCAGGGGATTCCAGAATACTCAGCAACCATTGTGTTGAGGTTGGGTGGCCACCATTCAAAGTCAGCATTTTCTATTTGCCTAGTTCTTATTTTTACATTTCAGTGTGATGTGTGAGAGACACTAATCCTGCTGCGTTATTAAAATAATCATTAATCAGCCTATGTGGTAGACACGACATTGAGTCTTCAAAAGATTGGTTTGATTTGTTGGAGCCAGAAAGTACATAAAAGTAGGTACAAGTCATGAGCTCAGGTCTTGTTCCTGCATACCACACTGTGAAAGAGCAAGGAATGTTAAGACATAAACGGCCAATCTTAAAACCCTGCGATTCAGGTTGCTTTTCATTTGTGCTTCTAGTACAAAGAAAATACACCACCTTAGTTTGGGGCATTTTTCCATCCTAAAATTAAAGCTCTGTCATCCTTACAATTTTGTCCTGATACCTCTTTATTTGTAGATTTAAATATATTTTTCTAAAATCCATTTCATCACTCTTTTAGTGACCCAAGTTTATCAATTTCTACATGGATTTTCATTTCACAAGGCCAGTATTAAAAATAGACGTAGTGAAAAAAATAAAAGTAGATTTAGCGTACCAAATCGTTTAAATAAACAGAATAAATACCCTGGGTTTCCCCACTTTATAGATGGAGTTTCTTTACCAGGAAACTGGTTGTGCTTTATTTGGATCTGTTTCCAGAGCTGCATAGATTGCTCACCACGTAGACAAGACCTAGTCGTCCACTTACTCCATCCTAACTTTACTGCCCAAAGACGAAGGATTTGGAACCTGGTCTTTGTAAGGGACTCCTTTTTGTTATTCTTTTTTTAAAAAAATTTATTCCGTTTTTGGTAAAAATTTTCACAACAAAGTCGGTTCTCGAAAACAAAAAAAACTAAGTTGGTTCTCATGTAATAATTTCTATACCTATTATTTAAGGAACCACAATTCTATACCTATTGTTCAAGGAAGTCTGGTGGGGTAGTGGGTCACGTGTAAACAGGAAAGTCAACAGTTTGAACGGACCCTTCGCTCCTCAGGAACAGGGTGAAGCTGTCTGCTCCTGTAAAGATTCACAGCCGTGGGAACCCAGGGCCCGTTCTACCCTGCCCTCTAGGCCACTGAGAGCCGGACCGCCGGGAAAGCACGGAGTGTGGGTGGGGTGCACACCTGTGGCTCGTTCAGTGGCAGGCCTTCCCTGCTTCCCAGTGTACTTGCACGCTCTTCCTTTCCCTTCCAGCTGTTCTGTTCCCTCTAACCCGGCATGCCCGTGCCTCCTTACTTTCCCGTCTTTGGTCTGAGCAAATGTTTCCATTTGGTTTTATTTCTTGTTGTTATTAGGTGCAATCGAGTCAGATCCGACCCACAGTGACCCCGTGCGTATCAGAACAAAACACTGCCAGGCCTGCACCATCCTCAGAATTGTTCCTACACCTGAGCCCATTGTTGAAGCCACTGTGTCCATCTATCTCCTTAAGGGCCTTCCCCGGTTTTTGTTGCCCCTTCGCATTACCCAGCATGATGCCCTTCTCCAGGGACTGGTCTCCCCTGACAACATGTGCAAAGCATGTAAGATGAAGTCTTGTCACCCTTGCCTCTAAGCATGGCCAAAGTGCACCTTAAAGGCAAGGGCGGTTTCATTTAGATGATTATTTAGAGAAGAACAGTGCTCACTCAACCAAACCCACATTGTCCAATTGCTTCCAACTCACAGCAACCTATAGGCCAGAGTAGAACAGCCTGTAGAATCGGCAAGGCGGTGAATCTTTAGGGAAGCAGACTCCTGTGTTGTTCTCCAGCAGAACGGTTGGTGGGTTCGAACCATCAAGCTTTTGATTAATAGCCTAACACCTAAACCTCTGTATCACCAGGGAGTCTCACAGTACTCCCAGGTGATATTATTTTTATTTTATGAACCAGTCTGTCATTTGGCTGAAATGTAACCTCCAGGAGTGGTTGGAGTTCTAGGTTTAAAGTATATCCCCAGTTTTTATCTGTCTTACACTGTTATTGCTGTTAGCCTTTCTAAATATTTTGCTATATATGAAATCCAGGATAGACAAACCTATAGGGACAATAACTGGATTGATAATGGTGCCTTTGGGGTATGGCAAGGGAGGCTGGGGGTTGGAGGGATGAGGAGCTAATAACGATGAACACAAGAAAAGGAAAGTGTTCTCAAATGGATTGTGGTGACGATTGTACAGCTCTTCTTGATGTGATTGAACTACTGGAGTGTATGATATGTGAATCATATGCCAAGAAAATGCTTCAAAAATGATAAGGAGTCATCCAAGGCATTCGTCTTAGTGGGCCTCTCGTGTTGACTGGCCCAGTAAGTCTGGCCTGCCAAGGACTCTTTTTTAAAAACGCTGTGCACTCCCTCCCCATCCCCATTGATTCCAGGGGACTGGCCCACCCTGTGGTATTCTGTATAACACCACTCTAAAACAGTAACTCCCTCATGGAAGCAAAGACTGGAATCCAACTTACTCTGCTCCACATATCACTCATACCGGCAGGACTTGAAGGAGCCCTGCTGGCATAGTGGTTATGCACTGGGCTGCGGTCCTCAAGGTCAGCAGTTTGAAACCACCAGCTGCTCCTCGGGAGAAAGACAAGACTTTGTACCCTCGTGAGGAGTTAGAGTCTTGAAAACTCACGGGGGCAGTTCTCCCCTGTCCTCTAGGGTCCCTATGCGTTGTCAGCAACTCGATAGCAGGGAGGAGTTTGGCATCTGAAGGCCTTCTGGTGGTGCAGTGGGAATAGCACGGGGCTCCTATGGGAACGGTCAGAGTTGAAACCCATCAGCCACTCTGGGGAGAAAAAAGAGGCAGTCTGCTTCCATAAGGATTTACTCCGTCCTGTAGGACCACTGAGCACAAGAACCATCTCCAGGCAGTGGGATATCAGGCATTTATTTTGTAGACCTAAATTTACCCAAGGAACATTAAAGGAACCTTCATATCACGCTTCATTTGTCTGACTTCTAAGTCTCTGGGTTCATTGGTGATCCCGACTGACAGCTCTGTTCCACAACTACAGACCACCCCCCTCACTTTGGCCGTCAGCTGTGTAGTGTGTTCGGTACCCCGGGTCTGTGACGGGTCAGAAGCAAATGCTGGGGTTTCCTTGATTTGTAGATGGGTGAGAGTTCCTGCCTACGGCATCCACTGAACCCTTTGGGGAGCTAAAGGACGTGTGTTGAAACTGGAGAGAATTTAGGAGGAAATTTTGCAATTAATTTCCAAGTCAACTTTGTGAACACCTAGCAGCCCTGGTGGCAGAGTGGTCGCTCCTCGGGCTGCTAACCACAAGGTCAGCGGTTTGAACCCCAGGCACTCCACAGGAAGAAGGCAGGGCTCTCTGCTCCCACAAAGAGCCACAGGCTCAAACCCCCATGGGCCAGCGCTACCCCGTCCTGGAGGGTTGCTGTGAATTGGCACGAACTCAATGGCGGTGAGTTTGGTTTGGGTTTGGAAGTAAATGGTAGAACATAGCACCCCTGTGCGTACCACATTTTTCAGTAGAGACCTCCGCATGTGGTCATTCCTTTAACATTTTCTCATCATTTTAGCTTTCTGACAAGTATGTTTCTAAGATGCTTTTCAGATAGGCAGCATACTGTGTGCCACCCAAAAGCAGCCCAACAATAGTGCTGTATGGTGACACACTCTCCACTAGGGGTCTCTGAACTTCATGTTTTAGGATAGAAGATGTTGGTTTTGTGCATCTTTTTAATTGTGAACTGGGTGATGGTTTAGAGAGTAAATCCGTTTTCCATTCAACATGACATACGCACTTTGTCTCTGGCCATCGATGGAAATCCCCACAATGTCACACCACTCATCTCACTTGCCCCTGTGCTTCCCACGGCCGGTCTTTCTCCCTTCCTAACCCTTCTCCCATCTCAGCATTGTCCTTGGGCAAATGCTGCCCTTGCTGTTATGTGAGGGAATGCGTGGCTCCCTGGTCTTATTGTCACTTTAGAGACCCGTGTATCCTTAGAGACCCGTGTATCCTTTGGCGGAAAATCGAACTACGTGGTGAGTTCAGGTCCCAGTCTGAAGGGTGACGTAAGGCCATTGTCTCAGATGTTCTGTCAGCCTCTGCCCGTCCAGTGAGTCTCGTCCTATTTGTCGTTTTGAGTTCTGTTCTGCATTTCGCTCCCACTCCATCTCGGGACTTCTAATGCGATCGCTTGCAGGCTATTGGTAGTAGGAGTAAGCTGGGCACCATCTCGTTCAGTCAGTTGGTTTTAAACCCAGGCCTGAATGGTCAGTCTTTGGGACTGATTTTTCCCTGTGTTTTTTATTTTCATCATTCTTTTCTCCTCCAGCTGGGGAGAGATCCATATTTGCCCCTCAGGTGGCTGCTCACGAGCTTTTAAGAGCCCCGTTGCTGCTCCCTAAAGTCAGTTGTAGAGCCTTGTCTTTGTGGACTTCACTGAGCCCATTGAGCTGTGGCCCAAGGGTAGCAACTCCTTCCCTCCAAGGGCTTGGTTGTGGCTAAGAAGGCTTCCTGGCTTTGCCCCGTATAAATACAAGCATTGTAAGCAACAAAGGTAAACCAGAAGTCTGCTCTTCGGAATTTTACAAATATAAAAGCTCTTCTGTGGAACATATTCAATGATTAGATTTTAGGATTACATATGCATATGTGTGTGTGTATATATATATGAAGGGGCTTGTAAAAGTTTGTAGAAAGATGGAATTAAATGAAAAAGGGAATATTTCCAGGAACTTTTTGGAGTGTGTGTGTGTGTGTGTGTGTGTGTGTGTGTGTGTTTTGCTTCAGTGTCCATGAATGGCACAAATGGTCAAGCTGTTGGCTGCTAACTGCGAGGTCAGCGGTTCATGGCCACCCAGCGTTGCCTCAGAAGAGAGCCTGCCTGATCTGCTGGTGATCACAGTGTTGAAAGCCCTGCAGCAGGTGCACGGTTCCTCCCTGCAGCACATGGGGTGCTGTGACTTGAGGCCTGACTCAACAGCAGCTAACGATACCCCCACAAAACCCCAAACTCACTGCCATCAAGTCAATACCGATTCGTAGTGATTCTATAGGGCAGGGTAGAACTGCCCCTGTTTGGTTCAGGAGTAGAAAGTCCTCTCTTTCGCCAGAAGAGCAGCTGGTGGTTTCAAACTGCCAACCCTTTGGATCACAGCCCAACCCTTAACCACTATGCCACCAGGGCTCCTTCCGCTAACCATAACCACCACCTAACCGGCTGTGTCAGTGGGTGTTGCACTGCCAAAGTGGAGGGAAACACGCAGCGGGGCTTCCACGGAATGACAGGCCAGGGAGTTTTCCCACAACGTTTTGAAGCCCCCTCCTATTTATAGCTCGCATCTTGATATTATTATCTTGATATTATTTTTCATAGTAGGAAACATCATATACTGACTGTCGATGAATATTGAAACCCGGTGTGACCAGCATGCCAGATGCACCTGAGTACTCTGGCATTCTTTCTAGGCCGCCTAAGTCGTTCACTCAGCCGCGCAGCTGCTTGTCGGACTTGATTATAGAGAGCACCAGCGATGGAACTGCAAGGAGAGACCGTGCTGTGTGAAAGAAGAAACAGAGAGCATTTCGACTGAAATAAATGCCAGTTTCTTTGTTTTCTGTCCCCAGAAATGAAATCTACATCGCCCCTTCAGGAGTGCAAAAGGAACGAATTCAGGTATTTCCCGCGTGAAGGGGTTCTGCTTCCACCCAAATGCCACTTCTTCTTAATTAAGCCCTGCGTTGTGTAATGGAATTGATTTTAAAATCTAATGAAAAGAAAATGCTGGTTTTGATGGATGGTTATAGTGTGGTAATTTTAAATAGCTCGCAGATGAGCACTTATTGAGTAACTATTACTTTTATTTGTTTATTTATTTAAGCGATACCTATTCTTGATACACCCAGAATCTATTGTGCAATCGCTTGGTGCCTGCAGAGGGCGAGAAAGAATAGCTCATTCTGACTGTGTAAGAGTTACGTGACTAACTGCAGCATTGTAGCTCCGGCTAGTGGGGTAGTCAGACTGCCGATCTCATATGGGCTGAAGGCTAAGGAGCATCTATCTCCTTACCATTCCAACTTGTGACTGACACATTTAATTATCGCAAAGCTGATTTCATTTCAAGGTTACGAAACTTTATGCCCAAGTTCTGAGTAGACTGGTTAGAAAAATAAACATTCAGTGCTTGTATCTAAAGCAAGAAAAACTGCTTCATTAATGAAACATTTCTATTGCTCTCCGAAGTAACTCCTGGCAACGTAAGTTAAAACTTAATAATGCACATGCATCAGCAAGAAACAGTTATGTGGATCTGCATAACACCTCAGAACTTTCAGAATAATATGCCTTCTTGAGGTGAATCTTTCTGAGTACCAGTGACGTTTAAATTCCTCAAGGCCTAAGAAAAATTTGCTCTCTGATTTTCCATTAATGTTATGAAGTGTGAAGAAGTCATTTAAATGAACTTCCTGGGAATCCCAGTGTCTTCACATGCTCTGTCTGAAATAATGTCACAAAATCAGAGCTCTGAGTTAATTAGCTAAATGGACCAACCGCCACCATCGTGTTGCATGTTGATTTTCTAGGAATGAAACATTTATTTCCATTAATGAAACACAAATTTTAAAGAAAGGATATTTCTTAGCTCTTGATATTATTTTTCATAGTAGGAAACATTGTTAACACTTCTTTCTCAGAATGGTTATGATGTTTTGAGAGAGAAATATAATAACTGTATATGAGTATTTAAAGTGAGATAAATGCATATGCCTGTAGTTAGCATTCTATAGGTAGGGATGCCTGTACCATATAGCACATTAAGGTGCATGAAAAATGCACATGTGTGGAGTTGCATGGTTTGCAAAACTGTAATGCCCATGTTACTTGCATCAAAATGGTATATACAAGAAAGGAGGCCTTTCTGATGATATTTGGCTTCTCATTCCTTTTCTCCCTCTGTAAATAGCCTGAAGACCTGTTTGTTTGTGACATAAATGAACAGGACATACGTGGGCCTCCGCCACATAAGCAGCTCAGCAAAAGCCAGTGTACCCCCCTGTTCATGAACGCTTACACAATGAGAGGTATGCAGACAACATGTTCAACATAAAGAGTGCTGGCTAAATAGGCTCCTCTAAATAATGGTAATTATGATTTTAGCGCACATGTATTGAAGGTGTACTATATGCAAAAACTTTAAATGTGTTAACTCATTCCGTTTTCGCACCAATCCTAGACTTTGGTCCATTATCAGTCCCTCTTACAAAGGAGGGAACAGGGCTCTGGAAAGTCCAATCACTTTCCCACGTGGAACAGCTGGTGAATACTGGAGCCAGCATTCCAACCCAGGGCAGACTGACTCCACTCTTACCTGCACTGTCACATTGACTGATGATCAGACCACACCTCCTGTTAAAGGGACACACGTATGGCAACGTATGATAGAGACAAGTCCAATTACAAGCAAGGGATGATTATAGCCTGTTCTTCTCTTCAACCAGAATAGTCCTCAATTTTTAAAAAAGTTACTGTTCAACTAGGAGTCTTATCTTAATTCCCAGAAGTTGTGGTAAAGGTCTGGTCTGAAACGTTTAAGCCTGGAGGATGATGTGAAAATAGAACATAGGAAACACTGGCTCAACCATGACAGTAAACAAAGTCTTTGGGACTTTTTAAAATATAACAATGGAATGAAATGAATATGAAGTCAGATATGGTGGTGTAACGGTTACACGTTGGGCTGCCGACTGCGAAAAGACTAGCCGCTCTGAGGGGGAAAGACCAGGCTTTCTTCTCCTGTGAAGAGCTACTGCCTCAAAAGCCTGTCGGGACACTTCTACTCTGTCCTGCAGGGTCGCTGTCAGCGGGAACGGACTCAATGACAGAGTCTATCGCGCTGCGGTTTATTCCTACGCATTACCAGCTAGCACTAGAAGACTGTAACTTTAGGGAAAGACCTTTTCCCAGGTTGAAGCTACATAAGTTCAGCAGTTGCTGAAGCAGGCCTAACTCAGTTTTACAGCCTGCAGTCAATCCACTCCATTGCCTTAAATCCCCATCATCCCTCCGTGCTTGCTCCCTGCAGCGTAACGGGTAAGAATAGAGGCTGCATTGTCAGGTGGACCTGGGCCCCAACTCCAGTTGTGCCACTACCCTCTGTGAACTCTGGGCAAGTTTTTACGCCCCAGGGAGAGAAAATGCTGACCTCTTGGGCGGTTGTGTTGAAGCCCATGAAGGCACAGAAAAACTCATTCCATTCATGGATTCATCTGCTTAAGGAAATCTCTTTTGAATGGGCGTAAGGTACTGTGCGTTGTCCTCGCCCTGGAGAAACCTGTCTCCCTTACCTCCCAGTTCCTTTGTTAGCGAGTCCCCCCTCCCCCCCTCTCTCAGTAGTCCTGCTGGTGCAGTGCTCGGTGTCCGAGATTCAGAGCCTGGGAAACCCCGTGAAGCAGTTCTGCTCTGCCCTGTGAATCTGTTCGCTGGCACGCAACAGTATCGCTCTGCCCCCTACCCTTCTCCCACCAACTTATGCCGTGCCAGAAGAAATATGTGTGTGTGTGTGTGTGTGTGTGTGTGTGTGTGTGTGTGTGTGTCTGCTTCATCTCAAAGGGACAAGGCCGTCTCCGTTGAAAATGTGGCTGTCTTCTTCCTCCCCCAGGAGCTGGCGCAGTGATCCACACCCACTCGAAAGCTGCTGTCCTGGCCACCCTCCTTTTTCCTGGACAAGAGTTCAAAATTACCCATCAGGAGATGATCAAAGGAATCAGGAAGGGTACCTCAGGAGGGTATTATAGGTATTCATTTCTTTATCTTTGCTTAAAGAATTTGCTAAAGTAGTTTCCCATTTGGGGATGAATGGGGTACTGGCCTCTTGATGGGTTTGACGTGATGGGGCAGGGCCTGCGTCAAAGAATGCCTCACTTCGCATAATGCTTCCAAATCCGCTCAGTGGTGTCCAATCCGATGGCCTCGCTCCCCCATGGACACGGTCAGCTGTCCACAACACGGGGAATGTGACATGTTTGTCCAAGGATAACAAACACACCAGGCCGGCATTTCTACACAGATGGAAAGACGGTGTTCCTTGACTGGCACAGCCAAAGAGCAAGGTCTCTGTGCCCTCGCTTTCCTGCATTCGCCCCGCCTACCAGTGAGCAAGCTCTGGGCTGCCAACTGCAGTTCCAACCCACCGAGCAACTCCGGGGGGAGAAAGGGCTGGCAGTCTGCCCCTGGAAGGACTGGTAGTCCAGAAACCTCTGCGGGCCGTTCTCCTCTGCCTCGTGGGGCCACTGAGCATCCAGATCAGCTCAGTGGTGCCGGGAAAAAGGACGCATTCTGACGACAGGTCGAGCTTCTGAAAGGTTCCCCTGTGGATGAGAGTTTCATCGTTACTTTGAGTTACGTAGCTCTCTGGAGTTTGACAGCTTTTCAGTGTTGGCATGTGGCATAGCTCGTCCAAAGCAATGTGACCTCCGCGATGAGTTCAAGTCCTTCGACCAGCCCACAGAGGTGCGGCCCATTACTCATCAATCTAGAAACCTGTGATGTGAAGAAACATGTCCGGAATACTCAGGCACAGACTAAGCATTGTGTTAGCCCTTATTCGCACACTTATTCCTGAGCCTTCACCTTCATGAATTGTCTAAAACCCAAAACCCCGAGCCCGCGGCGGTAGTCCCTTCTGTCTCACAGTGACCCCACGGGACAGAGTGGAACTGACCCATCGCGCGTCCAAGTGTGTGGTACTCGCCAGAAGCGGACCTGCAGGGCAGCTGGTGGGTCCGAATAGCTGACCTTTCCGATAACAGCCGCACCACCAGGACGCCTGTAATCTCCTAAGGGCCTGTGAACTTCTCCCTTCGCAGGCCTGGAGGACAAGGCTGCTAGCCTTGCTGTCCGTGTTCTAACAGCAACACCACACTGTTGGTGCATTTGTTGTGTGCTGATAAATTCATTGGATTGGATTGGATTGGATAACAGCTCCTATTTCCTCTGTGCCTAAAGCAGTCCTCCACCCTGTGGGACACCTGCTTCCACGAGTTAAATATTTAAATTGTGAGAAGGGTGGACACTCGATCGATATAGGCCCACATTGCCTGCTCCGTACGTATCTGAGTCTTGAGAGCAAGGCCGCCAGCGCACTGTCGGCGTCCCAAGGCCTTCGATGGCTTTGGTGAGGGAAGAAGAGCAGGCCAGACAGCCGAGGGTGGGCACCACACGCAGGGCCTCGGGAATTGTGGCGCATGAATGACACGGAGGAAGGGAAGGCCTTTGTGACATATCATGACGTCTATGCTCTACATATTATTTTGAATGTTTCAGAAATTAAAGAGTAAAACTAATAATAATAAGGTGCTCTTTGCATTTCCATTTGAACCTGGCTGGCAAGTGAGTAACAGCTAGCTCATTAGCACAGTGATGTTCAATCAAAAGTAAGCGAGAATCCTGAGAATTCCAGTACAATGAGGGCACTGATGAGCAGAGGAGGAGAGGAGATGAAACTGCAAGAGGTGGCGTTTGGAACTCCTATACTCTATGACCAAAAAAATCGAATAGTTGATTCTTAGCAGGAAGAAGTTAATATATTCGTATATAATTGTCTTCCTTATCGGAAGCAGAGGAGACCTGGTGGTGTAGTGGTTACACGTTGGGCTGCTAACCACAAGGGTCAGCAGTTTGAAATCACCAGCCTCGATGAGGTTTTCTATTCCCATAAAGAGCTGCGGTCCCACAAGCCCACAGGGGCATTCCAGCCCTGCCCCACGCGGTCGCTGTGAGTCAGAATCAAGGGGACGTGTGGTTGGTTTTAGTGGTGGAAGCAACAGGCCTCTAAATGGGATGAAAAGAACATGCTTAAGGGTCAAACGATTCTGTCCATATAACGTATCAGGATCAGCCTCCTCTATGTAAAGTGGAGGTATCAGATTGAGTTTGCTTCAGAACTTATTTTGCTATGGAATCATTTTCCATCTGTAGCTGCTTCTGGCTGTGTGGTGCAGGCGAGAGGAAAGCAGAAGTGTGCGCTGCTTCTGGTCAACCTCAGGGGACACTTCAGACCTGCAAGTGCTCTCTTTAGACAGCAAGGTACCTTTACATACAAAGAAGATCATTTCTGGATTTTGATTGGCTACGTAGTACTTACGCTATAAGATTCACTGGATCAGTAATTAAGTTCTTGCTGGAATCTTATTACATGAGTGAAAAGAAAAACAGCATTTTGGTTTTTTTTTTTAATCTTTTTTTTTTTAAGCATTTTACTTTAGCTACTTTCAGAAGGTTCTTGTTATTCCGTGCCACCCATCACACCTGTATTTTGTTGGTTTATCCATCTGAGACACATAGGACCTAATAGTTGGAATCAACTCAGTGGCAACAATATATATATAATGGATTTCTGCCATTCAGGATTAGTGGAGTGCCTGCCAAGTTCTGAAGGCATCTTTTGATAGAAATATGTATCCAAGATGCACAGAATAACTTGTCCCATCTTGTTCTTGGTTGGGAGGGGCTTCCAGATATGAAAGAGTTGGTGACTTGAGAGGAACCCTAGTGGTGCAATGGGGTAAGCACTGGACTCCTGGCCCCCGCTTTCTGTGAGTACATGTGCTTAATGGGGGGTCTGCTCTGTTGTACAGATACGATGACATGTTGGTAGTGCCCATTATTGAGAATACACCTGAGGAGAAAGACCTCAAAGAGCGCATGGCCCGTGCGATGGATGAATACCCAGACTCCTGTGCAGTGCTGGTCCGACGTCATGGGGTGTATGTATGGGGAGAAACATGGCAGAAGGCTAAAACCATGTAAGTATAAATCAAGAAGTGTCTGGGATAACTTATCATACTGTAAATACGAAAGGGGGCAAGCTCAGCTTTTTGATTGTAAATGAAGTATGAATTTTGTTATTGGCCAAATTGGTTTAATTTTAAATAGTCAGTCATTGTCATTTCAAGATGTTTATTATTAGCATGCATCCACTCATTCCTAAATATTTGTTGGATGAAGTGTGCACTCAGTTACAGAGACGGAGACGCAGGTCTTGTCACCGAAGGTTCAGGCTGGTAAGGAAAATGGATAATGTAGTGATTTGCTACATTCATTTCCAAAAGTGGAACATAATAAAAAATGTAAGTTCATATATCCATAGAGTTTGCTTTTAATTCTCTAAGCAGTTTGTAATATTGTGGTATGATTCCACATGATTCATTTCAATATCGTCATGTTGAGGGCAAAAATGAGAAACATTGTCCTACCGTGAGAAAAAATAATATATGAGGAACCAGATAGGGCTAACTTAGTAGAGAATTAGAAATTATTTAGGATTCGTGAACTTTGTTTCACTAATACCCTGCGCTCTGCTTGCTTTTCTCCTGCAGGTGTGAATGCTATGACTATTTGTTTGATATCGCTGTTTCAATGAAGACAGTTGGGCTAGATCCTACACAGCTTCCAGTTGCAGAGAATGGAATTGTGTAAACAAGTGTGAAGTGCAAGACATAAGTGAAACTTAATTATTTTTTAATCAATTAAAAATATCCTTGAAGCATATTTTGCTATTAGTTTGTCATTTAAAACATAGGTGATTATGCGTAATCGTTTCCGATAGTGACTGATACTTGCATATAGTCTTATAATTTTAACTGACAGGACAGTGGAATATTGTTTTGTTTTTATTTTATTAACTTTGTTTTTAATCAATCATTTTATAGGACCTCTTACAGCTCTTATAACAATCCATGCAGCCATTGTATCAAGCACATTTGTACATATGTTGCCATCATCCTTTTCAAAACATTTCCTTTCTACGTGGGCCTTTTGTATCAGCTCTTTCTTTTCCCTCCCTCCCCGCACCCCTCTCAGGAACCCTTGATAAATTATAAATTATTATTTTTTTCATATCTTACGCCACCCACTGTCTCCCTTCACCCACGTTTCTGTTGTTCATGCCCATGGGGGTGGGGTGGTATACATCAATCATTGCTGTCGCTTCCTCCTTCTCTCCTGACCTTCCCCTACCCTCATGGTATCCCTACTCCTATTACTGTTCCTGAGGGGTTTATCTGTCCTGGATCCCCTGGCTTTCAAGCTCTTATCTGTACCAGTATACACGCTCTGGTCTAGCCAGGTTTCTAAGGTAGAAGTGGGGTCATGATACTGGGAGGTGGGGGTGGCGGGGCGGGGCGGGGCGGGGAAGCATTAAAGAACTAGAGGAATGATATATGATTCATCAGTGCTACACTGCATCCTGGCTGGCTTGTCCCTTCTTTGTGACCCTTCTGTGAGAGGATCTCCAATTGTCTATAGATGGGCTTTGGGTCTCCATTCTGACCCACCTCATTTACATCAATATGAGTGTTTGGGGTCTTATGATACCTGATCCTGTCGATACCTCGTTATCACACAGGTTGGTGTGCTTCTTCCATGTGGGCTTTGTTACTTCCCAGCTAGATTTATCTTGTTTATCTTCAAGTCTTTAAGACCCCAGATGCTGTATCTTTTAACAGTTGGGCACCATCAGCTTTCTTCAACACATTTGCTTATGTACCCATTTTGTCTTCAGAGATCATGTTGGGAAGGTGAGCATCACAGAATACCAGGTTATTGAAACAAAGTGTTCTTGCATTGAGGGAGTACTTGAGTAGAGGCCCAATGTCTGTCTGCTACCTTAATACTTAACGTATAAATATATGTACATAGACCTATATCTTGATCATGATATATAAATACATTTACATATGTACATGCCTGTATTTATATTTCTATAAATACCCTTTGACCCCTAGTTCTTTCCTTTATTTCCTTCTACTTTCCTCCTGTTCCACTATCATGTTCAACCTTTATTCGCCTCTCAGTAATTCCTCTTGGCTACGTTGCACTTGATCAAACCCCACCAGTGGGTTCAGCAGTGGGTGGTAACGTAGCAATGCGTGTGGGGATGATGTGTACAGGTAGGGTTTCTATGAGCCAGAACCAATCTGACAGCACCTAACAACCACAATGATAGCACATACGTGAAAAGGTAACGCTGAGCCTGCCCTCATTATCAACGTCACTGTTTACAGGGTGCACCTTTACGATTGTGTAGGATAGTCAGTTCATATTGGGATTTACTGTCAAGTCGAGTGATGTTGACTTAATTTTCCTAATCAAAAAACCCTGAACAAGCACATGATAAAACAGTATGTGTGTCTTAATATAGCCCAAAGCAATACCAATATGATCCTAAAGGTCTGTTTGGTTAATTTTGAAAGGGTGGTGTGTTAGTCTGGGTAGACTAGAGAAACAAATCCAGAGACACTCCAATGTGTATAAGAGAAAACTTTATATCAAAGAGCAATTGTACATTAAGAAAACATCCCAGCCCAGTCCAGATTTAGTCCATAAGTCCATCATTACCCCATATGGCAATACTAGTCCATAAATTCCTCTTCAGACTCATGCAGCTATGCAATAATGCTGAATTCAGGAAGATCACGGGCCAGTGGGTGGAAAGTCTTATGGATCCAGTGGCAGTGGAAGGATCTCTGTGCTGGCGTGGCTCTCCACATGGCTCCTCTGCTCCATCAGCTTGGCTCCATGTGTCCTTGTCAACAGGAATACGAAGCAGAGAGAGTGTGTGTGTGTCCCACCTCCAGGGAGGAAGACAGGAGTTCCCAGAATCCTCAGGAAAAGGCCATGCCCACCTGGAGGCTTCATTGGCTATGGCCTGATTGACAGGCTTTGCCAGTTGCCTGGAGATTATATAACTGCCACAGGTGGGGTGAGATGAAAAATAATTACACCATACCCCAAATCTCAATCTGATATACCCACTTCTCACATTAGTTTTGCCATCTTTGAGCACATTTTCCCCAGTTTTCCCAGATTTTGAAGTCCCGGATGTTAACGTATTTTATCATCCGTACCCATTTTATGGCCTTACTTCCACACAATGCATAGATTGCTTGGTCCAGTATTTGAACCACGTCACAGCAAACATCCAAACCTTGTATCTTGCTCACTTGCTCCTTGTTAAGCCACCCTTTCAGTTACTTGTTACCTGCACCCAAGCAGCAAGAACTAATGGAGGAAAACCACACCACCATGGCGGCTGATCTTACTCGACACTGTGACTGCAGCTGTCAGGAGGCCACGCGGTGCTGCCACACCAACCTCCAGGTCCTCCGAGGGCTCATTTCCTAACGGCATCCCAACTCCTCACCCTCTGTCATCAAATCACCACTATCCTCGTCCCTCTAGCTTTCGACGATAGCTCCCTCTCCTCACTTCATGCTCTGTACAATGCCTCTTCTCCCAGACTCTTAAACCCACTCCAAGCAAGCTGCTGCCCATTCCAATCACGTCCAAACGTTCTACCCAAACTGCGGTTATCACTATCCCTGAAGAGAGCCATATTGCTAATGCCAGTGCCCGGTTCTCAATTTTCATCTTAATTAACCTATCAATGTTGAACATCATTCATCCACCCTCCCCTGTAAACGCTTTGCTTGCAGGTTTGTAACACACCTGACCACTCCTCAGTCTGTTATTCTCATCATCTTTGGCAAATCAGGAATGCCCCATGGGTCAGGCTGCAGCAGCGAACTCAAACGGGAAAACAGTTGTGAGGATGGCCCCATTGGGCGCTGTTTCATTCTGTGGCACATGGGGTCTCGAAGATGCAGTTCTCTGGAAACTCACAAACTCACATGTTTTCTGATCTCCAAACTCATGCTCTCTATTTCCTATGTCCGCATGAGTGGCTAGTAGACATCTTGAACTTAGTATGTCCAGAGCAATTCCCGATTTCCACCTTGACCTCCCAACCCCAGCCCACGACATCGACCAGAAGTCATTACCTCCGTCATGAGATGCCAGTCTTTCATGTGCATAGGCGCGCAATAAATATTTGTGGTAAAGGCACAGGCATTCTTTGTATTTCCTTGAAACTGGTTGTCTTAACTATTCCTACTTTGATGGGGAGGGACGGGAGTGCTGGTTATGAATGAAGGATTAAACTGGTAAGTGATCTGGCTCAAACACATTTTTCAAATTTCATTCACTGTAGGCCATTCTGTTCACTCTCAGCTTGAATAAGAGATTAACATTTTAGTCAGGAGTATGCCATTTGTTTCTCAAATGATGTTGGAGCCCTTTGGTTCCACCCAGCTAGCTCTCTTGTGTGGGTGCTTCAAAACATAGTTTCCCGAAGGGTGCTTTAAACAATCAAAAAGGTAAAGCCATACTCTTGAGGGGTGTTTCATCTTATATTTCCATTCATTGAATTCCCTTTTGATGAAGAGAAAACTTTCTCACTAGTTCTAGTCAAAAGTGCGCAGATATGGGCTGATCGTTTTGATATTACCTTTCAGGAGACATTTAAAATTCTCCCACCAAGGATCTTTAGAAAAAGTACTTCAAGATAAAGAAATGTTGGCTATCATTTCATGTGATCTGTAGTCTCTAATCACAGACTCATCAAACTTGGAGATACGTACTGGGATAATTATTATTCTGTTGTAATAAATCACAATCAGCATTCATGTCTGTCATAACTTTAGGTAATTTTATTAATATATTTTCTGAAATATAATTAATTGAAATATATAGCTTTCCCCCATTAACTGCATTCATGTTTAACGTTCTCATTGTATTCATTTCTGCCTGTCGTTTTTGACACATCGTGTTTTCTCCAAAACTCACTGCTGCCAAGTCCATTCTGACTCATAGCGACCCTACGGACAGTAGCACTGCCCCTTGGTTTCCGAAGCGCTAAAGATACATGGACACGGATAGCCTCTTCTTTCTCCAGCAGAGCGGCTGGGGTGTTTGAACTGCTAACCTAGTGGGCACCGTCTTCCCAGAAGCTCCTCACCGTTCTTGCTTCTGAGGAGCAGGCTGGCTGTACTTGTTGTGTCTAACAGTATTTACCTTCGTTGCCTTTTAGCTGTTGTACTCCTCTGTGCTGGGCATTAGTCTAAGGGCTTCACACTCATACCTTCATTTATCTTCACCATTTTAAAATTCTCTAAAACTGGGTTACATGTTGATCTGCTAACCACATAAGACACCAGCCTGCTGAGTAAGACATTGCTATACTCCACGCCACTAGGGTACTTAGGTAGGTGACAGGAACAGACCCCATCCCCTCCACCCCACTTGGCCACCTTGACCATCCTCATGCCCTCTGACTTGAATCACCAGAGGTTCATTCTCTCAAGATGATTAACTCAAATCACAAAAATACAGCTCTTGCAGCCACACCAGACACCAATTCATCCCCCTAGCCTGAATCTCACCCCATCTCTGACACCCTACAAGACGACAAGGCAGTGAAACATCGTACCACCAAACACTGTCCCTACATAATACGCAGGGTCGACAGGGGACCTTGGTGGATTCACTATACTCCTTCACCCCAATCATGAGACCCTCTGGCACCTGTCACCTTCACGTCAGTAACACACAACCTCTTAACGTAGGAACTAAAATGACAGCTTTCAAGGGAGAGAGAGAAGCCACTCAAGCGCGAGGCACAGCCTCTGAGAAAGAAAGCACCGGCCCCTTGC